GGGTTGAAAAGTAGTGCCCCAGTGACGTTCCGAGCACTCAAGCGACACTGTCAGTGCGTAGTCGGCGGATCCACAAGTAGCCAGAAGGTGGATTATAAAAGGCTTGCAGTCCCTGTTAGAATATACCACCTCCGATCACCAGGACTATTACTAGCTAACTTCGCTGACGCTTTCTTTTTAAATGCGGGCACGCCCATGCCCGCAGCTGGCCTGTCCAGGCCATTCAAAGCCATGGCTTTCCCACTCAGGCATTCCCGTCACCCCTGTACAATTCGGTCCTCCGCCACAGCGGTATGGCTGCAGTAGATTTATGCTGCACAAAGACTGTGAGACTCTGCTGGGAACTCCCACAAAATCCAACACGGTCTGTGGACCGTTTGCAGTGGGATGATAGGATTAACTTCTAGGTAAGGTCTAGTTCAAATTTAACACCAGAGTACCCCCAACTCATCACCCACCACAGCGCGTCATTGACTTCGACTACATCGGGAATCAATGTTACTATCTACTTCTGTCCGCGCTGATGGTCTCCTCGCTCTCTCTCCTTCTGTCCTCTGCTCCTTCTGGAGCATTCTCAGCTTCTTCTACATTTTAACGGTACATATTGTACATTGAATTTGATCCTGTCATTATATCGTTAGCCTGGTTATTGCCTTGTATTGACTGCAATTCTATACCTACTTGATGGTCTTTACTTTTGCATGTCTTGCAGTGACCTCGTCGCGTTGTTCTTCCGCTTTATGCCTCCTTCAGGATCTCTCTGTAGGGCAGGCCTGGTGGTGACAAAACTCTAAGCTCTTGCTTGTCTGTAAAGATTTATTTCCCCTACTATGATCACTTACAATTCAGCGATATGAACGAAATTCTGGGTTGAAAATTCTTTTCTTTAAGAATGTTGAATATTGGCCCCCACTCTCTTCTGGCTTGTAGAGTTTCTGCTGAGAGATCTGCTGTTCGTCTGATGGGCTTACCTGTGTGTGTAACCCGCCCTTTCTCTCTGGCTGCCGTTAACATTTTTTCCTTCATTTCAACATTGGTGAATCTGACAATTATGTGTCTTGGAGTTGCCCTTCTCGAGGAGTATCCTTGTGGCGTTCTCCGTATTTCCAGAATTTGAATGTTGGCCTGCCTTGCTAGGTTGGGGAAGTTCTCCTGGATAATATCCTGCAGAGTGTTTTCCAATTTGGTTCCGTTCTCCCTGTCACTTTCAGGTACAGCAATCAGATGTAGATTTGGTCTTTTCACATAGTCCCATATTTCTTGGAGACCTTGTTCGTCTCTTTTTACTCTTTTTTCTCTAAACTTCTTGCTGCATTTCATTCATTTGATCTTCAGTCACTGATACCCTTTGTTGCAGTTATTTGAATTGGTTACTGAAGCTTGTGCATTCATCACGTAGTTATGCCATGGTTTTCAGCTCCATCAGGTCATTTAAGGACTTCTTTACACTGGTTATTCCAGTGAGCCATTCGTTTAATCTTTTTTCAAAGTTTTTAGCTTCTTTGCGATGGATTCGAACTTCCTCCTTTAGCTCGGAGAAGTTTGGTCGTCTGAAGCCTATTCTCAACTCGTCAAAGTCATTCTCCATCCAGCTTTGTTCCGTTGCTGGTGAGGATCTGCATTCCTTTGGAGGGGGAGAGGCGCTCTGATTTTTGGAATTTTCAGCTCTTTTGCTCTGTTTTTTCCCCATCTTTGTGGTTTTATCTACCTGTGGTCTTTGATGATGGTGACGTACAGATGGAGTTTTGGTGTGGATGTCCTTTCTGTTTTTTAGTTTTCCTTCTAACAGTCAGGACCCTCAGCTGCAGGTCTGTTGGAGTTTGCTGGAGGTCTACTCCAGACCCTGTTTGCCTGGGTATCAGCAGTGGAGACTGCTGAACAACGAGTATTGCTGAACAGCAAATGTTGCTGCTTAATCGTTCCTCTGGAAACTTCGTCTCAGAGGGGTACCTGGCCATGTGAGGTGTCAGTCTTCCCTTACTGGGGGGTGCCTCCCAGTTATGCTACTTGGGGGTCTGGGACCCATTTGAGGAGGCAGTCTGTCCGTTCTCAGATCTCAAACTTCATGCTGGGAGAACCACTACTCTCTTCAAAGCTGCCCAACAGAGACATTTAAATCTGCAGAGTTTTCTACTGCGTTTTGTTTGGCTATGCCCTGCCCCCAGAGGTGGAGTGTACAGAGGCAGGAAGGGGAACATGACACACTGTCGTGGGGTGGAGGAAGTGGGGAGGGATAGCATTAGGAGATATACCTAATGTAGATGACAAGGGATAGCATTAGGAGATATACCTAATGTAAAGTTGGTGCAGCACACCAACATGGCACATGTATACACACGCAAGAAACCTGCACGTTGTGCACATGTACCCTAGGACTTAAAGTATGATAATAATAATAATAAAAAAGAGGAAGTAATAGGTGATGAAAACGTTATAGCAAACTTTAGGCCAGGGACCCCCAACAGCTGTGATTTCCCAAGTCACAGTAAAAACAGCAACTGTGAACAAGATTTGGACATTCCAATTCAACTCTGGAATTTAAATATCTCTAGATAAGAGTGTAAGCAGGGTTCCCCAACCCCTGGGCCATGGAACCTGACAGCGTAGCAGGAGGTGAGCAGCAGAGCAAGCAAGCATTACTGCTTGAGCTCTGCCTCCTATCAGATCAGTGGTGGTGTTAGACTGTCATCGGAGAGTGAGCCTGTCGTGAATTGCGCATGTGAGGGATCTAGGTTGCACACTCCTTATGAGAATCTAATGGCTGATGATCTGAGGTGGAACATTTTATTCTGAAACTATCCCCCCAACCTTCCGTTCATGGAAAAATTGTCTTCCACGAAACCATTCCCTGGTGCTGAAAAGGTTGGTGACCACTGCTCTGAGCTATTCATTCAAGGTATTTGCTGATGAAGGGAGAGAAATGTGGCTTTACTGATGATTGAAGGGGGAAGGTGGTGGTGAGAAAGATTATTTTTCTTTGAGAATAAATAGAGAATCAGCCATTTCTTTTTAGGTGAAGAGAAGGAGGAAATGGAGGGCGGAAGGAAAGTCGGCTGAAATTGTGAGTTAATAGATGAGCTACATCACATGAAGCATCATGTACTTGTTACTGCAATATATGATTTCAAAGATGTCCCTAATCCTTTTGGACTTCATTTTTCCCGCATGTAAAAGGAGATGATTGAGTTAAATAATCTCTAAGCAGTTTGAGCTCTAAAATTCTGTGGTTGAGTTTGATCTCATTCTTTTCCCCTGAAGAGTTTTTCTTTGTTAGATGTTCATTATTATGCTGTACAACTGTAATTATTATTCTTTCTTCAGTTTTCATGTGTTTCAGTGTATTATTGCATACATACCAACTTTTGAATGAAAGAAATGTTTACTTATCCCTTTAGTGAAGGGACAAATCTTTATAATGCTGATTATACTATTATACCATGTGTTTTATAATGGCAGTAACAAAAATTATTTATTGTATGTCATAATTATAATGTTTTTGTTGTCATTTATAGTTAGCATGTGCTTTTTATACTTTTGTCTTTTTAAAATAGCAAATTTTAATTTATGATAATTTTTGGCAAAATCTTACAGAAATAAGTTGCCCTATAATGTTTTTAAATCCATTTCTTCTATTTGAGATGTTAATTCAAGAACATTTGTTGTAAAATGTTAAAATCTTGATGATGTATTTATTTTTATTTACTAATTGGGATTTTTTTTTTTTTCTTTTGAGACGGAGTCTTGCTCTGTCGCCCAGGCTGGAGTGCAGTGGCCTGATCTCAGCTTACTGCAAGCTCCGCCTCCCAGGTTTACGCCATTCTCCTGTTTTAGCCTCCCAAGTAGCTGGGACTACAGGCGCCCGCCACCTCGCCTGGCTAGTTTTTTGTATTTTTTAGTAGAGACGGGGTTTCACCGTGTTAGCCAGGATGGTCTCGATCTCCTGACCTCGTGATCCACCCATCTCAGCCTCCCAAAGTGCTGGGATTACAGGCTTGAGCCACTGCGCCCGGCCTACTAATTGGGATTTTTAAAAACAGGTGGCAATACATGTTTAACTTTTTATTTAAGGAGATGTATAAGTCCTCTTATTCAACTTTACAACTTCCTTTGGCTAACATTTCTATTGGTAGTTATACTTACTGTTTCATACATTTTTATTGCTCCAGACTATTAGTTTACAACATTTACCAAACCAGTTTTTGAATATGTGAACTATCCTTCATGAAAGCAACTTCAGTTTACACTGCTGGTTCTTCTTTTTCCAGATTAAGTATTTATCGTCTTGGTCAAGGGATGTTGACAAATTATTAGGTTATATAGGTTTTGTAAATCTGTGTATCTGATTGCTATAGTTTAAAAGAGAGAGCTTAAAATTTTATTTTTAAATTGTTCTTGTTGATTTGGTGGATAATAGAGAAAGCAAAATATGATTCATAATAACTTGGCAATATTTAGAAGGTAACTTCTTTGTCCAGTAGGTCCTTTTTTATTGTAATTTCACTTGCTTCAGTGTTTTCTTAGAAGCATCTCTAGACAACACAAAAATATAATAAAGGCTTTAAAAAAAATGTCAGAATAGTATGCAATTTCCCCGAAGCCCTTTGCATTTCTGCAGACAGCCAGCAGGGGATCTCCTCTACACCCAATTTCCTTCTGAGTACAGTTGGTAGATAGTGTCTGATTATACTGTTGAGGCATTTAATGGAAAATTCGACAGTGGCTTTGAGAGAGTTCTTAGTTGAGCATAGGTGATAAAATATTGTCTTTATTCCTAACTCGAAATATTTGGCAGTTGGACATTGTTTTAAAAATGTGTTTTGTATTGTTGTATTAATAACTGTAAATTCCAGAATCCTTTGAATATTGGGCCTTTATGTGGAAATAAGAAATCCTGAAATTGTACAGAAACCAGCAGAGTACTTTGCATACATTGTTGCTCAGAACAGGTCTTAAAAAAGAATGAATGTGAAATATCTTAATTTGAAGTTATGATTTTCAGTAATCATTTCAGTATTAGAAACAAATCTCTTTTTCAATTCTGTACTTGTTGTTTATTGGTTAATACCAGGTTATAGGTATTGATGGGTGCATCACTTTTATTTTCCTTGATAGTAATTACATAAGTAGGTTCTTTGCAATGCAGTTTTCCTTGAAAATGTAATTTTAAAAAATGTTTTATTTCTAAAATGTTGTTTTCTTCACTTAAACCGAGTGTGTAAGAAATAATTTGACATTGTCAATTTGATGAATGTTAGGAGTATAGTAGCTTTTTGAAATTATTTGGAAGTAGGTTAATACTGTTAAGGAAATTGATAATTATTTTATGCTCATTAAATAGTATTTTGGAAATCAGTTATGAAGAAATTTTAAACATATTTTGTTATAGAACTTCACAGTTGATATAAATTAATTCTAGAGATATGGAAGTCAGTGCATTATAAACCCAAGGGATAAAAAATAATAACTAAAGACAAATGTTGAGGTTAAGCTACTTTTACATTTACTGGAAAACAGTAACCCTTTGTTTTGTATCCATGTGTGTTTTTCCACTCTGAGGTATTTATCTTTTGTTGTTTTAGAAATAATTGACGCAGAAATATCATCAGTTCTCTGCAGTATTTCATGTCACATGTGATGTTATGTTTTTTCTTTCTATTATGACAAATATAGTACCCAGGAATTTCAGGGATTGCTTATAAAATTTTGTAGTATGATCTGCTTGCTTTAAGCATAAACATGCTTGTACATATGAAGAGTAATTTATGCCATATACTAAATTTCCTGGGATTTAAAACCTCAATCTCACAATTATTTTCACAAAAGAAAGTGGAAAGAAATAACATTTTAGGATATTTTTCGATATCCTTTTTGTGTGTACATTATATGAGTTGAAGACAAAATACATTTTTAAACAGTTTTTCTTGTAGTTAATGTTATTTTAGTCATAAAATATTAAAATTAATTTATAAAATTTATAGCTTACAGTGTAGAAAATGCAGTCAGTGGTTTACATTTATGGAAAAATGTATATTTTAGCAGATAATTAAACAGTACAGGAGGAGTATATATAGAAGTAAAATGTGAAACTTAAAAAAATTTGTCAAAAATGCAGTGATCTTTCGGGGTGTGAAATAAATACTGTATATTTAAATTTGTTAATTTTGAGCTACTGTCAAATTGTATAGAAGAAAATGTTGATTGGGAAGTGGAAAAAGGCTTTGGAACATACTTAGTATGCAGCTGTTGTAAAGCAAATTGAAACTGACGTATTTCATCCTGTGTACTTATTAAAACTTTGTCTGAACACTTGGATCTTTTCTTTTTGTTTTAGATATTTGGTTTCCAGGCAGGACTGACATCTTTGGATTGCAGTGGATCTTACTGCTTACCTGTACCAATTATTCCCTCTTTCAGCACCGCTCTTTATGGTAAACTTCTGAAACTCCCCACGTACTGGTAAGTCTTACATGTTAAAATGTGTTAAAATGTGATTTATGTTAATTTCCATTTATTAGGAGGGAAAAAAATGCCCAAATGTTTCTGTCTTATGCCTATGTTAGTTTTATACAAAACTTTAGAAAAAAATATCTAAACTTGTACTTTTACTGAGACACTAAAAATCTTTTTTAAGTGTCTGAAATCTGTTAGTTCATAGTGTCTTTTGTGATAGCAATAACTGTTATTAGGATAATAACTGTTAATTCATGTTGGATGTATGTAAAATACTACTTCAGATTATAATAGGAAGTGTAAGACCAAGTGCCTTTTTTTCAAGAGAGGGGTATAAAGATTTTAAAAAGTTATAAATTAATATTCAAGACCAAAGTATATATCTATTAAATAATAATTTCATATATATTCATAGCCACTGACAAAAGTATACCCAATACATAGAGTTAGAATGTATTTACATGTCTAGTAGCTATATTTTGTAAGAAATTGATTGTAGCCCTTACCATTTTCATTCAGAAGTGAGTGCTATATTTGGAGGTCACATTTCCTTCAATTCAAAGAGATTTACAGAAAGAAAGCCAGTAGTTACCAGTTATAAATTTTTAGTTTAAAGGAATGCTTTTAATATATTGTTTAAATATGTAAAATAATGTTTAAATATATGAAATTAATTTTTAGTGAACCATTTTTCCAATTTAAAATGTGATTTAGAATATCTTTTGCGTTCTCATTCTAATCAGTAAGCTTATTTTTGCAGGATAGTTTTTCTATTAGTTTTTTACTAAAAATGACATAACCTTTAGAAAATTAGCATTAATTTCTTATCTAAAATACTTCAGTTGCTAAAAATTTGTTTCTTTAATAATATGTAACTTTTAAAATGAAATTATAAAATAATTGCTCATATTTTCAAGAAACTTTACCTGCTGATACAGAAAAATTTTTTAAAAGTTGTAGTTAAGTCTTAGTATCAATTCCTCTATAAAATGAAACCATTATTAATTCTTAATTTCTATGATAAATTTCATTTTGTCCTTACTCCTCCATACCTCTCACATGTCATTTTTATGTTATATATAGATTTAACCTTTTACTGGCATATATGGTATGTTGCATTTGAGCCAAGTTTTATATTCTGATTTATTAAGAAATAAACTGGGATATGTCACAGTTGATATGGTGATATCAATTTTCATAGGTATTTGTGAAAAGTATTATCTCAGTTATGTGCTGATTAATTTATCATTTCTAGGACTGAAATAGTTTTATGGCAAGCAGTGCAATTTACTATAGAAAATTCTTAATTTCTTTAAAAAAGTCCACATTTTTCAAAATGATTATAGCCTTCATATAAAATCAATATTTAAATAAGTAAGGCTTGGTTGAAGGATACAAAGAGGTTATTGTGAATACTGTCAAATGTTACTTAAAATATGCCTGCAGACATCTAGAAATAATATTCCAATTAAATACTGAAAGCATGAGATCACAATGCCAATATTTTTTGGATGTGTTTTGTTTTTTTGTAGTTAAGATTACTTCTATGTTATTTCAGTGGTATTTTTGCTCTGCTTTTTAGAAGTATATTGATTTGAAATAGTTTCTTGAAATTTTCATAATAAATGTAAAAAAAATCTTTAGTAACTCTAACTTGAAAATAAAGACAAACCTTAATAAATTGAGATGTTGATTGGTTTTAGTGCAGTTTGAATTCAATAAAATACTGCTTAAGCAGTATGTCCTGTAAGTTTAAAGAAAGCAGACAATTTCCCTGGGAGGTCAGAGGTAGCTGATGAGATGAGGTCCTGTTAGAATTGGACATTAATGGATGAGACAGATGTCCATGTGTCTGTCACTGAATACAGTGAGAGAAGAATTTGGAAAGTTACTCTACCTTAGACTTGTCCATGAGCAATGATATCTAAATGTTTTAATATGAACACTTAAAAGTAGTTAAACCAGTTAATCAAATATTCATTAGTCCCATTTCTTCATTTTCGTGTTTGTTAAAGTCTAACTAAAATATAGTCTCAAATTCACTTTGTCCTATAATTGAGGGTTCAAACGTGTGATTTTATTAGTAGAGAAATATATGCAATATATTTGGAAGTTTGGAGTATAGAAATAGTATGTTGGCTTAGAAAGTCATGGAAAACATGGAGGGGTAATTTTTAAGCAGGCTATTGAGGAATGGATATAATCTGAAAGAGCATACTGTATTATTTTATACAGTCCTAGGTACCTAGTTTAACGAAGTTTTCATGACAGTCCTTTGAGATAAGATGATATTCTCTCTTATAAACTCTTTCTAAATTTCAGAGAGGTTAAATAAGTTGTCCAAAGTCACACACTAGCCTCACAAGATTTTCGTGGAGGATTGTCTGATTTGAACATCTTTGATTGTTTTATTACTTGATGGAGTGAAGGGGACATATATAATCTTCTGTTAATCAGTTTTTTAGGCCCAGTATGCTTCTTGCCTATAGTTAAAGTAAATTGCCAAGGATCGACAGGCTAGCTAATAAAGCTGAACTCTGCTAGTATTAGTTAATAGCATGTAGATATTATTGTAATTCTGATCTTAAAATTGTGGATATTAGCACTAGGTGGAATCTTAGACATTATCCCCGTTACTGAGTCTTTATGACATACTTTTGGTTTATAGTCATCTATCTACTGTTTGAACATTTTATTCGAGGATGTTAGGTACTTTCTGGGCCAACCATTATTGAGCAGCTCTAAATTTGTTTCTTTTATTTAATCAAAGTTTGCTTTTATGAGAAGTTTATACTTGGATTTCTGCCTAAGAATGTTTCTTCTCTGATAAAATTATTATATATATCGTGAGGCATTTTCATTCTCAGAGAAATGTGTGAAAACACTATTTCTTTTTAAGATTGAGAGACTTCTAAGTTTCCAGTTTTTACTTAGCACAGTGCCAAATGTTGGTTTTAACTAGCAAAGTTATTGAACAGATCATTTGTAGGGGGAAAATGCTTCTGTGAAATCTTTGAGTTCAGTGTTAATTAGAAGTTATGGAACTTGGTGCCGGTAGACTGATGGTATTGATGTGGCTGGTGTGTGAAGGACAAGTGAGGCAGATACTGGTCCTTTTGCCTCCCTGGAACTGAAACTGAAGGCATCATTTGTCCCAGCTCAGAATGACACCAGGATAAATTCTTTTAGTTTTAATGGATCCTGGGGCCTTCAAGTCTAAAAGAAATTGCCAGTAATACTTATTATCAACAGAATAAGTAACCTTCCAGGGCTTAAAATGATGTTTGTTCAACTGCCCTGTTCTTAATAATGCCACAGTTTGAGGCCTCAAGAAGCTATACGTGGGTGTTTTTAATGAACCTGGAGATAGATCTTCCTTCCAAACCTGTGTTCATCAGTCTGCTTTTGTGATTAACGTTCCTTTTAACTAAATGCCTTAAAACTACTAAGACTTAAATGGGATGTTAATTCTCTTATCTCCACCTGATTGGTGTTAGACTTATTTTTCAGCTTTGGTTCTGGCATCTAAGATGCGCTTTTATGGAATTTTTTGAACAAAAAAGAAACATTAACATCTGTTACAATCTTCTCATTTCAAAGATGGGAAAACTGAGTCCCAGAGAGGTCAAATTTCTTGCCTAAGAGCACAAAGTTAATTAATATCATTGCCTCAATTTGTTCCTCTCTTTCTTGATTCAAGGCTCGATCAACTGTACCATTTTGCTTAAAACAATTATTACTATTTCAAAAAGTAACTATTTTTAAATGTAAAATTTGGTAGCATTAAGTACATTCACATTGTTGTGCAATAGTGCTACCATTCAACTTTGTCTATAAATTTGACTATTCTAGGTGCCTCACTTAAATGGAATCATTCAATGTTTGTCATTTGTGTCTGACTTATTTCACTTAGCATAATGTTTTCAAGATTAATCCATGTCGCAGCATGTGTCAGAATTTCCTTCCTTATTCATTCATTTGTAAGACGGAATTTTATGTATTCATGTTATGTATATGCTACATTTTGTTTATCCATTCATCCATTGACAAATTCCTCTCACCCTTTAGCTATTGTGAATGATGCTGCTGTGAACATGCATGTACAAATATCTGTTTGAGTCTCTGCTTTCAGTTATTTTGAGTATATACCTAGAAGTGGAATTGCTGTATCATATGGTAATTTTGTGTTTAAGTTTTTGAGAGCTGCCATACTGATTTCCACACCACTTTACACCTGCAACAGTGATGCAGAAAGGTTCCAATTTCTCCACATTTTCATCACTACTTACTGTTTTCTGTTTTTTTGATAATAGCTATCCTAACAAATATGAGGTGATATCTCGTTGTGGTTTTAATTTGCATTTTCCTAATGATTAGGGACATTGACCATCTTTTCATGTGCTTATTGGTCATTTGTATATGTTTGGGGAAATACCTATTCAAGTCCTTTGCTCATTTTTTAATTAGTTTTTTTTCCCTTGAGTTGTAGAAGTTCTTTATGTGTTCTGTAAATTAATCCCTTATCAGATATATGATTTGCAAGTATTTTCTTCCACTGTGTGGGACCACATTGCAGGGTCCTGGCTGGAGATGCATCAATAAACAAAATAGGCAAGTTATTTCCCCTCATGGCAATAGAGAATAAACATTATCTTAATTAAGGGAATTTTAAGGGGAGAAAAATTGCTTCATGTAGATTGTCTTTTAAAATTGAATCATAAAATCACCCTTTTTGCTGTACTGAGCCTTGAAAGGAGGTGTTTGAATAGTTCTTGATAGCATAATACTTTCAGATTACTTAACATTTTTCTATTTATTATTATTTTTTATGTTGCAGTGAATGCAGCATTTTTACTTTTTCTTAATGATTCATGTTTGAACTGAAAACCATCGAATTAGGAGTAGAGCAAACAGTGATAGGAATTGAAATATAGATTCCTGCAGATAAGTGAAAAAACCTGTTGAATAAATTAAATATATTTTTTATTTACTAGCTCTGAAAACAT